GTGGGCAGCAGGGATGCCCCTGCCCCCAGGGGGAAGGTCTGGGGGCACAGGCATAGTTATTCTGCTGGGACAGGTGAAGCGAGCAGCCCGGGGGGCCCAGAGCCGGGAGGTCTGATGCCAGCCTCCGTGCCTTGAGCAACTCAGCTGTCAGGGCCTCCCCGGCGCCTTCCCAGGATTTGAGGTGCTGTCTTTCCAAGAACGGGGCAGGTGTCTCCGTGGGGAACCGCCGCCCCAGAGGAAGACTCGGTAGAGCTGGGTGAGGGGAAGCTGAGGCCGGCAGAGGCTTGTGGGGGTCTCTTTCTGGGGGTCTGTGGGGTCTCTGATCTATTTCGAAGTGTCTCTTTCAAGAAGCTACCCCTTGCTGTGGCTCACAGGAACTAACAGATGCCTTCTCTCCATGCAGATGAGGCCTCATCCCGTCTTGTAAATATTTGATTAGATTTTTGAAGAACAGATCCCGTATTTGGAAGGCAGTGCCAGAAACGCGTTGCTTCTTTCCCCAGAGGCTGACAGGCCTTTGGGCTCCTGGGAGGACCACTAGGCTTGGCTTTCTGAGTGGCTTCCAGGCTGCTGCAGCCCTTTCTGCAGTGAGTCTGTCCTGGTTTCACCAAAAGGGGACTTTGAGTGTACCCAGAGTCTTCAGGGTTGCAGAGCTGTGAGCTCAGACTATTAGGGCAGGAGCAGCCTCGGGTGGATGCGGAGTGGGACTGTTAGCCGTTTCTGACCAGGAACCGTGGTAGGAAAAGCACTTTACATTGTGACTCACTACATCCATACGTGGGTGTCTATTTAAATATAAATACATTTAGCTGAAGTATCCTTCCCTGCTAGGAGGTACTCTTTTTGATGATGCTCTCTTTTCCTTTTAAAAAAATGTTGTTGTGAGCTGTCAAAATGCAGTTTGAAACACTCTGCCCTAGGTCAAAGGTTTTTCATGCACCCTCCATGGGGGGGCTTCAGGAAGGGGCCACAATAATGATAGCGATAGTGATGATGATGGTGGTGATGACGGTGGTGGTGATGGTTATAATGATGGTGGTGGTGATGATGGTGGTGCTGCTGCTGCTGCTTGTGATGGTGATGATGATGGAGATGGGATGATGATGATGTTGATGATGGTGGTGATGATGGTGGTATTGGTGATAGTGATAGTGGTGATGCTGTTGCTTGTGATGATGATGATGATGATGATGGAGATGGGGATGATGATGATGGTGGTAGTGGTGAAGATGGAGATGGGATGATGATGATAGTGGTGATGATGGAGATGGGATGATGATGGTGATAATGGTGATGAAGGCAGCTACAATGCATTGAACCAGGCACTGTTTTAAGCACTTTATATGGATTAATGGATTTAATTCTTCCAAACAGCCCTATTGAGATGGTATTATTATCCTTGTTTTATAGATGGGGAAATTGAGGCATAGAGAGAAGTCGAGTCACTTGCCAAAGGTCACACAGGTAGTAAGAGGTGGACCCATTCTCACCCAAGTCCGTCCAACCCCAAGATTGCCTTAAAGATGGGTGTAAAATTGTGTATGTGGAGGGGGGGGTGCATTTTCTGTGGAGAGGACTCTCACCTTTATGCAGATGTGCAAGGGCAGGCCTATGTGGACGTGCCAGTGATAGGAGGTGTCTTCTGAGGGGACTGGGCAGCCAGGGCAGCCCACCCAGTTGCTATTTCCTAGCCCCGAACACCTGGTCTCCTCACTTGGCAGGTGCTTCCTATGGTTGGGGATCCCTTGGACAGCCCAAACCTGGGGACTCAGCCCTTCTGTGCCTCCTTCTCACCATCTGTTTCTCCTCCCAGAGCCTCAGAGTGCAGATCCCAGGCCCCCACCCATACAGGTGTTCTCCCGGGATCCACTCATATCTAGGTATGAGGGAATCTTCTCGGCTTCACCTACAAGAACAAGGCAGGAGCCAACAGACCTCTTCTTCAAAGCCAAAATATAGGTTGGCAGGGGCTTGGGGCCATGGTGGCCTGGCGTGCTCTGCCCACTTTTTTTTTTTTTATGATAGTCACACAGAGAGAGAGAGAGAGAGGCAGAGACACAGGCAGAGGGAGAAGCAGGCTCCATGCACCGGGAGCCCAACGTGGGATTCGATCCCGGGTCTCCAGGATCGCGCCCTGGGCCAAAGGCAGGCGCTAAACTGCTGCGCCACCCAGGGATCCCTCTGCCCGCTTTTAGTGAGTGTTTCTGGGTAGGGCCTGGGGGCTCTCTTGAATATGGGGCATCGTTTTGAGCTTTGAAGTTTAGGCTGCAATCCCAAGACAACAGGAAAAGTCCTGACAACTGTTAACAGAGGGATTTGTTGATCCAGGCCTCCGTCACTCACCACCATTCCCTAATGTGACATTTATTCCCCTCTGGGCTGCTGCTGGGTGCAGGAGGAGCGGCAGGGTGGGGTAGGCAGGGCTCTGAAGGATACACGTGGCATGAGGGCAGGGTGGGCAGGAGGGGAAGATCAGGGACCCAGTGTTCCTGGCAGGGGTCCCAGATGAGCAAGGCCGGCAATGGAGGGGACTCGGCATGTGTCTGAAATGATGAAAGGACTTTGGACGCCCAGACAGCCACCGTGGTGCCCCATCTTCCTCCCTCACAAACCTGGGTTCCAGGAGATGGTACTGCAGGCATGAAGGCTGCGGGGACAGAGGCTCAAGCCTGGGTTCAAACATGACTTCTCCCCCGATGAGCCGTGTGACCCTGGGCACCTCACCGCCCCTCACCGAACCTCAGTCTTCTTGTCCAGAATGTACCATGGTGGGACGAAATCAGGGTTTTCAAATGGTGTTCCGTGAGGTGCCTGGGGTTCCAAAGAGGTGGCTGGCAACAGGTAGAGCCGTTGGGTCCACAACCATAGGTCTCAGCCTTGCCCTGGAAGGGCATATGGGCCATGAGAGGGATGTTAGCGGCCACTTTCAGCACGCGACAGACCCTGAAGATGAAAGCCCAGCCCCCCAGCTGACTTGTACGGTATGTGTGGGCAGGTGAGTGGTAGTGAGGTGCCCAGCCTGGGAGTCAGCACGCCTGGGGCCAAGTCCCCAGGTTACCTCACCTCTCTAAGCCTCTGGTTCCTCGTCTGTAAAATGGGGATACTGAGTCCTTAATTCACAGGGTTGTGTGTAACAGGAAAACCATCCGTGTACTTGGACGGTAGCTGACAAAAAAGTAGGTATGCAGGAGATGCAGGTGATAATTCCTGTTCTCAGTCTCCTCGTCCATAAAACGTAAAGAAAGAAACCTGTCTGCCCACCCATGCTGCCTGTGTGAAGGTCCCTGAGGTGGCAGGTGGGGAGGTGACCATGGTGATGACAGTGATAGTGGTGATGATGCCTGTATCATGTCCTGGGGCCATAGACTGGGGAGCTTAAAACAATAGGCATTTATTCTTTCACGGTCTGGGGGCTGGACATCTGAGATCAACATTTGTCCTTTTTGAGGGCCCTGAGAGGGAAGCTGTTCCATGACCCTCTCCCAGCTTCTGGTGGTGGCTGGCAGTACCTGGTGCTCCTTGGCTTGTAGACAACATCACTCCAATCCCCACCTCCATTGTCACTGGACCTTTTCCCTCTGTCTCTGTGTTTCTACAGGACCTTCTCATAAGACACCAGTCACTAGATTAGGGGCGCACCCTAATCTGCTATCACCTCATCTTAGCTTGATTATATCTGCAAGGACCCTATTTCTAAATACAGTCACATTCACAGGTATTGGGGGTTCATACTTCAACCTATATTTTTGGAGGACACAATGTGACCCACAACAGTGGCGACAGTGATGTTGGTGATGGTGAGAGTGCTGGTGGTGATGATGGTGTGTGATGATATTGATGGTGGTGATGATGATTGTGGTGATGATGGTGTGTGATGATATTGATGGTGGTGATGATGATGGTGGTGGTAATGATGGTGACGGTGGTGATGATGGTGATAATGATAATGATGGTGGTGATGAAAGTGATGGTGGTGATGGTGATGGTGGTGATGATGGTGACAATGATGATGGTGGTGATGATGGTGATGGTGATAATGATGGTGGTGATGATGGTGGTGATAATGGGGATGATGGTGACGGTGGTGATGATGGGGATTTTGTAAACATTAAAGGGCTATGTTAATGTGGGATCTTATGACTCAGGCCTAAAGGGAGGTTCTTAGTAGGATGCTTTTGTTAGAAATGGAAGCCCAATCAAATGGCTTTCTGTGGGCCCATGTAAGTGAGAAGTGCAGAGGTATGGTGGGTGACCGGTGCAGTTTTGACCCAGGGGCTCCCCTGGGCCATGTGGTCCAGCCATCGCCCTTTGGGACAGCTTAATAGCTGCTAACAGTTTCTAAGGCAAGAAGCTCACTGGTTGAGACACAGGGTTGACAGCTTCATCTTCCCTCGTCCTCCAAAGAAATATCTGGGATTCCCTCCAATGGAAGGATCTGGGTTACACGTTCACCAGTGAGCCAGTTGGCCTGGGTCCCTCTGGCCCTGCCCTTAGAGCTGGGGATGGACGCAGCCTGCTGGGAGCTTCAGGGGAAAGCAGGAATCACTGTCCTCCACTCGGAAGCCACTCTCTCTGGGTGGGGTCCCTGGGTGGTGATGATGGGTGGGGTCTCTACCTGCCCCAGCCGTGGGCGGGAAGACAGAGGACCGTTTTCCTGGTGAGGGGTGGGTGCGCATGTGCTCTGAGTTTCCTTAGAAGAGCCTGGAGCAAGAGAGGTCATTGGCAGAAGCTGATTCTTTTTAAACTTTCATTTTAAAAAATTATGGAAATAATATTAATTCGTCCTAGAAAAACAGAAACTGTGTTGAAAGACGAGGAAAAGGTAAGAGGATGCCAGTGGCATCGCCCGGCCCACGAGTCGGTCAGGATTCTGGCTGAGTCCCGGCGGTCGTCACCTTTACTTGAGTTTCGAAGCATCAGGCAGGTCCTGAGGACCTCAGGCCTCCGCCTGCCCCCCCTTCCTGTCCGCGGCCTCTGAACCTCCTGCTCTTCTTCCGTAGGCAGCCCTGGTTTTATGGCTGGGGCTTTAACCTCCCTCGAGGCCAAGCACTGCTAGAGAAATGGAACCTCATTCCCGAAGGCGTAGACATCCTGATAACCCACGGACCACCACTGGGTAAGCGTCAGCTGGCCATCAGCTGGCCGGCTTGGGCTGGGGGGACGCGGGGGGGTTGGGGGTGCCCCGCCTGAGTGCTGAGGTCAGCCCCTGTGAGCTCCGAGTCCAGCTTGCTGCGGCACAGGGGACAGTTCTCCCCAGAGCCCCCCTTGCTTCCCAAGCACCGACTGTCCCCCGTGGGTCCTTCCCAGTGCCCCAGGGAGGGCGGAGTCGCGGTCTGTGTGCTCCACACTGGGGCTGCGGAGGGGCGGGGGGGAGGGGAGGCTGCGCCCTGACTCTCCAGGCCTGCGTCCCGGGGCAGAATACTTTCAGGGTGGCTCTCTGGGCTTTGTCCTGTCCCGCGAGACCCCTAGGGGACTGCAGCGCCATCCATCCCGGCAGCCCCCAGGCCCAGCCGCCACCTCCCTGGTCCAGACTGATGGCAGCGCTCGCGTGGCCTAACCGCCTCGGGGCCCCACTGGCTGTCCCGCGGTAGAGGGCTCTCTCAGGCCGCCCCTCCCCATCCCCTCGCACATGGCCTGGCCTCCGTGTGTCCCTCCAATCCCACCTCCGAACTGTGCCCCAGCCCCTTCCTCTCCTCTCCAGCCCTGCTGACCCCACCTGGGGCCAGCCGGTGTCTCCGGCCTATTCTATGATTGCCATTGCCACGGCCCCCTCGCTGCTCCCCCTGCCCCCAGTCCTGCCCCTTCCTCTCCACTGTCCCCGCATCCAGAGGAGGGAGTCCTCCGAATCCGCAGCTGTGCCATGGCGCCTCTCTACGACCCTTCGTGGCTCCCCAGTGCCTGCTAGCCTCCTCCGCCTCCCGCCGCGGGCACAGGACCTGCCGTCCCTCCCTCAGTGATGGGGCCGCGCCGCGGCGGCGACGTGGGACAAGGGGCCACTCTGGGGGTCTGGGGGTGCTTGCCTCCAGGGCTTGCAGGCTGCAGGTGGAGGGGCACGGAATGGCCAGGCCCGGTGGGCCCTCCCTCTCCCCCCATCCCCTCCCTCCCTCTCCCTTTCTCTCCCTCCCTTTCTCGCCCTCCCTCCCTCCCCCTCCTTTCCTCTTCCTCCCCCTCTCTCCTCCCCCTCATCCCTCAGCACTAACACAGCAGGCTGCCTGACCGAGGCCTTGAGGATCCCCCTTCCCCACCAGCAGAAACCTGTTCCGCCCACCCAAACCGAGAGGGGCCGAGATGAACCCCCGTGTCTCGCTTGGAGTAATCAATTATTCTTCGTTTGCGTAGCCATGTGAGGAGAATGAGCAGCCGCCATCTGGGGCGGCTCCGGGAGGCTGGCGGTGCGCGGACCCGGACTCCGCACGGGAGCTGTGCTGCGTGGAATGGACTTCATTCCCGGGGTTTTGTGATGTTTGCTTAAGAAGTTTCCGACGTGGAGATCTTGCTCCTGGTGCAGCCCCGCTGCCAGCACTGGGGTCCCCTTGGGCCTCCCCTGTCCCTCTCAGGCCTCAGTTTGCCCGTCTCTGCAATGGACAGATGACCCCCCGGAGGCCGCCTTGAGCCCGTGGGGGAGCTCACGTGCCACCCTGAGTGCCTGGCCCACTCTGGGCCCTTGCCAGCTTGGCCCCGCAGAGGACGAGGCTCCCGCCAGGCTTTCCCTCCCCAGAGGCGGGGCAGGGCAGCCCGGGACAGCTGCGGGGGTCCGGGGGTGGGCCCGCCTGGGGCCTGGAGTCGGGGACCCCGTGACTTGGAGACCCCGAAGCTGCAGCCTGGGGTCTGCGGGGCAGGGTGCCCGGCCCCCCGGACCCCGTCCATCACTGCCCTCCCGCCGTCTCCTCACACAGGCTTCCTGGACTGGGTCCCCAAGAAGATGCAGCGGGTGGGCTGCGTGGAGCTGCTCAACACAGTGCAGAGGCGCGTCCAGCCGCGGCTGCATGTCTTTGGCCACATCCACGAAGGTGGGCGACGGGGGCAGGGGCCGGGCTCCTCACCTCCGTCCACCCAGTCACCTCCTCCCCGGTCTCCGCCCATTCCTGACAAGGGGTCACTGCTTGCCCAGCCCCAGCCGCGACTCTGCCTCCCTGGACAGTCTCTGGGACACGGGCAGGGGGCTTTTAGGAGGAGGGGACATTGGATGGGACACGGAGGATGTGGTAGGTTCGGAGGCACACTGGGAGGCCTTAGGGCTGGCAGCCCGGTCTTGTTGCCCTGCGGCCTGTCATACTTAACAAATAAGTATTAATAAATGTGGAGGGTCACTTGCTCGCCTGAGACATTGTGGTGGCACCTCGCCTCCACCCCCACCACACACACATACACTCATGGCATTCTGGCTCTGCTCCCGGGGGGCCGGGGACACCTGCTGGGTCCACCTAGTTGGAATGGTGCGGGGCATTCACTTCCCCCCGAGGGGCAGCGGACAGGGTGGCCGTGATGGTGGGGGGGGTGTCAGTCCAGCCCTGAGTGCCCGCGCCCCCACACCTGCACACAGGGCTTTCGTTATTAGGCCTTGGGCTTCTCACCATAGCCTGATCGTTTGCACACCTCCTCCTCCTTTTGCTCCCTTTGAACCTTCATCCCACCTTCCCCAGGCCTCCCTGGCCCATCCCACCCTACCGGAAAGTGCACAGGCTCCATGGGGCATGGGGACCCAGGTGTTGTTCCCCAGAGTTGTGTCTCCTGGCCTCCTGAACCTCTGTCTGTGTGAGGCCAGGGCCCCTGGGCCTCACATGTGCCTGGTCCACATCAGATTGTCTCCAGCTCAGAAGCAAACGAGCCTCAGCCCTTTCCCCGAGGGCCGTGCAGGGTGTTGGCAGACGGCAGCACTGATCAGACCGCCCCTGGCCCCACGGAGCTCACAGTCTTCTAGGCAGGAGACAGGCTACCAAAGGCAGAATCTGAGAGGTCAAGGAAGAGGACAACCCCTGTAGGATGTGCTGTGGAATAGCAATAATGGCTGTCATTTTGTGCAGCCCTACCAAGGGCATGTGATGCCACCAGATCTGAGGTTGTGTGTGATCCAGATCACACTTGTATAGGAAAAATGGGGGCACCAAAGAATGGGTAACCTATAGGGGGAGGGGAATGTCCCTTCTGGCTTGGAGGGGACCTGAGCTTAAAGATGAAGATTCTAAGAAGTAGTCATGGTGGGAAAAGGCTATGATGGCAGTACAGGCTAAGACAAGAAAGTACGTGATAATGTTGGTGGTGGTGATGGTGGTTGTGGCAGTGGTGATGGTGATGATGGTGGTGATGATGATGGTGGTGGCGATGGTGATGATGGTGCTGGTGATGATGGTGTTGTTGTTGGTGGTGGTAATGATGATGATGGTGATGGTGGTGATGGGGATGGGGATGAGGATGGTGCTGGTGGTGGTGGTGGTAGTGGTGGTGATGATAATGGTGATGATGCTAATGGTGGTGATGATGTCAGTGATGAGGTCTCACTGTGCTATTCATGTGCTTTTGAAGGACTGGGTTGAATACCGTATGTGGATTATTGTTTTTTAAAGATTTATTTGAGAGAGAGCAAGTGAGCAAGAGAGAGAGTGCTTGAGGGGAGAGAGGCAGAGGGAGAGGGAGCAGCAGACTCCCTGCTGAGCAGGCAGCCCGATGTGGGGCTGGATCTCAGGACCCCAAGATCATGACCTGAGCCGAAGGCAGACACCTAACCCACTGAACCACCCAGGCGCCCCTGTAGGTGGATTATGATCTCATGTGCTCCTCACAGCAGCCCGAGGAGGAGCATCTGTCATCCTCACCTCTATTTCTAGATGAAGAGGCTAAGTTGAGTGTTTCGGTAGCTTGCCCCGGATGTGTTCAGCCCACTGTAGCGAGTGCTCTCTCACTACCCACTAAGACCACCTCATTGCCCGGCCCTGGCCTCACCCCTCAGCCCTGACTGGCGTCTGCTTACTTTCCAGGCTACGGTGTCATGGCAGATGGGACCACCACCTATGTGAACGCGTCCGTGTGCACCGTGAACTACCAGCCTGTGAACCCACCCATAGTCATTGACCTCCCCACACCCCGGAACTCCTGACTGCCCCCGCTGTCTCAGCCCTTCCTGCCCACATCAGCTACATCCGCCTGGCCGAGAGCACGGACCCCAACCACCCTTCCTTCCACGCAGACAACCTGTCTGGCCGCGGGGACCAGCCCAGCAGATGGGTTGAGGCCTTGGAATGAAGAAAAACTCCCCTGACTCTTCGGCCTCCGTCACCTGGAGTCAGGACCCTGGGGGTCCCTGTCAGGGGTTCTGTGCTCGTGACTGTCTTCTGCGTGTACATTCCCGTGTGTACCTTGTCAAACGACCTAACAAGCTTGCGGTCCTGTCCTGCTTGGGAACTGACAGACTCCTCATTCTTCTCAGTTGGACACCCTTGTGGGTTTGGGAAGCCGCTGCTCCTGGACACATTTTGGAAGTTCTCGCACAAAATCTCCCTCTGAGGGTTTGTGAGCCCACACAGGCTGCGAGCCCCAGGGCTGGTGGGGCGGGGGGGGGGGTAGGTTTTCTAGCCTGGGTGCAAGGAGCCCGCCATTTCCTCCCGGGCCGGAGAGGAGACAGGCCTGTGTCACAGCCAAGGCCCTGGAGGGAGCGATCAGGGACGTCTCAGGAATTCGGACCGCACCTGGCCAGGCCAGCAAGCCGTCTGCCTTGCCTTGTGACTCTGCTTTCTTCCTGTGGGCATCTAGCCGTCTTGAACAATGGCCTGAGCATCCCAGGCGCTTGCTTGGAGCCTGGATTTTGGGGGGTGGGGGTGGTTCTACAGAACAAGCCATGTGAGTGCCCAGGACCAGATGGAGGGTCCCCAAGTCATGGACGGCCCCGATCCGTGGGGGCTGCTCGGCCCTGCAGAACTCAGCAGGCCGGAGGGGCCGCAGACCCAGGCCGGGTGTATGCGCCCATGTGGGGGTGCACAGACCTACACACACACACATACACACACACACGTCCTTCTTACCTTAATGGAGTGGACCTCATGTTTCTCATTACTGCCCTCGAATGGGGTTCCATCCTCATGCGGGTTCCCCACACACCGTTTGGGTTCTGTGTCTGGGCCCACAGCTGAAGAGGCTGAGTGCTTCCTGGCCCTTACCTGTGCCAGTCTGTTGTGCTGACGGGAGGGTGGCATGGTGGCAGAGCAGGCCCTGGGCTCTGGCCGCTTCACGCAGGGGGACTTCTTTTTTTCCTTTGAATTAGGACTGGGTGGGGGGTTGAGGCTGAATCTGTGAGGGATCCCGAGGGAGCCAGCAGGGTCTCACCACGGTGAGGCAAGAGAGGCAGGATGGCCACGTGCAGGGTCAGAGTCTGTCTTTATTCAAAATTTTGATATTTTGTTCATCGTGGCTATTTTTCTGAATAGATTTTGATTTTTAAAAACATTGGATTACCTGGCACCACTGATATCTATTGCTGAGAGTTTTGGTGCCTTCTGAAATTGTGCACCAGAGAGGAGGCTGGCTCACTTCCCCCTAGGCCCAGGCCTGGCAGCCAGCCCCTAACACGCCCTCTTCTCTCATTGTCTCAGGCGGTCCTGCAAGATCAGCATGGTTGGCCCCATTTTGGAGACAAGGGGCTCGAGATCAGAGAGGTGACATAACTTGCCTGAGGGGACACAGCTCAAGAGGGGCAGAAGCAGGACGTGAGCCTTGGTCTCTGGCTTCATAGCCTCTGCTTTGCCACCGCCCAAAGCTCTGCCCTCACAAGGCCACACAGGGTCCCCAGGCTCCTTTTTTTCCCTTAAGGGTCCTGTTCAGAGCCTCTCTGATTTGTTGCTCATAGAGAGTCCCTGGAGCACTGTGGGATCCCGTAGTCTGAGCCCAGCGTCCCGGGAAACCCTGAGTCCTTGCCCACTGGCACAGGGCTCCCCACGGGGCGAGGGGCACCGTCCGTGAGGGGAGCCCAGCAGCAGCACCACCGCACGGACCAGGGCTAGCCGCGCCCTGGGGGGGTGAGGACTTCAGGAATCTGGCCAAGCTGTTCCTGGTGGCCGAGGATGTTTACAAGGTCTCTGGGGAAGGCCAGGTGCAGGGCACAGGTGCACGCGCGGGGTGGAGAAGACACAGGCCCTTTTAGTCACCTCTACCGAATTTCTATTCGGACCAAGAACCATAAACTTCAAAAAATTTTTTCCTAAGGTATCTTCAGAATATGGTGTATTTTTATGGGGAAAAGTTATGAAGGCAGCTGTTACTTTGAAAGAAAATTCATTAAAAGTCCTTGAGGTATGAAAGATGATGGCGTGCTCCTCAATCATTTTGGCATAACTTGATTGTGGCTGTAATTTTTTTTTTTTTGTCAAGCATGTCAGACAATAAAGTCTTTGTAAAAAGAAAGAGATGTCCACGTAGCGCCTCTTCCTATGCGTCTTTAGGTGTTGTGTGAGGCATGTGGGGGAGGAACGGGGTCCTCCCAGCCCAGGCCTGGGTCCTTGACAGACTTCAGAGGCCAAAAGACCTTCCATATGGTAGCAACTGGCGTCCTTTCACTTGCTTCAGCTTCCCCAGGGGTGGAGCAGTCTCAGAGGTGGCTGGCACCGGGCCATTCGGTGCCCTATGACATTCACGTACTTTGCCTGATTCCTCAAAACAGAGTACTTACTTCAAGATGCTCTTAGCGGTGGGCCCTTCCCGGAGGCAGTATGTTCAACCCAGCCCTTATCAAACTACGGTCCAGATGTCACCCAAGAAAATCATTGACAGGTAAAATGACACCAGGTCTCAAAGCCACCTAAGCTGTAAAAGTCTCGCCATTTCTATTCATCCATCCATCTACCCACCCATCTGTCCATCTACCCATCCGCCCATCCATCTACCCACCCATCCACTCATCCATCTGGCCATCCATCCATCCATCCATCCACCCACCCATCCATCCATCCATCCATCATCAGTCCATCTGCCCATCATCCATCCATCCATCCATCCACCACCCACATTCCCATCTGTTGATCCATTCCACATCACACCACAGTCATTCCACTCCACACACATTCCACATCACATTCACTGGTCACTTCCCATGGGGCTGCCTTGGATGAGGGAGGTGGCGCTAGATTAAGGAAGTAGAATTGCTGCGGGATGGATGTGGGGGTGAGGTGAGGGGAGTCAAGGATGAGAATGGGTGTTGGCTGCCAGTCATGGAGGGGGAATGGGAGCTGGAAGAAGAGGTTTGAGGAGGGATGGGGAGTTTTGTTGGGACGGGAGCTGGAGGTGCACTTGGAATATGCGGGGGGGGGGGGAGGTCCAATGGCTGCAGGGATAAGTGGGCCTGGAGGAGGAGAAGCGTCTCTGAGGATCTCTGATCCTCTCTGGTTGCCTCTGAGGAGGAGATCTCTGAGGTCAGCATATGTGGGCCATAACCAAAGCCATGGGTCTGGAAGAGCCCTCCAGAGGGATGCGTGGAGGGCAGGAGCAGCAGCCTGGGGCAGACTGTGTGTCTCAGCCTCCCCATGGCCCTTTCCTGTCCTCAGACTGCCCCACCTGCCACCTGCCCTCCACCAGGGCCTCACAGGTGCCTACACCACCTTGTCCTGGGCCTCAGCTCTCCATCAGGGGGCCATGAGGAGGAGTCACTTGACTGAGGTAGCTTTGGCTGCCTCTCTTGGCTGGTGCGAGTACAAGCAGGGCACCCAGGCAAGGACCCTCTGTGCCAGCTGCTGCCTCTGGTAGTGCCGTCACGCTGTAGGCCCTCCTGTGGTACACGGGCCCCGCGTTCTGCTGAAACTCCAGACGTAGCCACTGCTGAGCCACATGGTCCTGCTGCCCTCAGTGTAGACAGGTCCTCATTTGTCTGGGGTTTGGACGAGTGGTGGAGGGGGGGGTACCACAGCAAAGGTGCCAGGGCACATAGTGCCTCAGCTCTTGGTGGCTCAGAACTCAGGGCTCATGTGCACTCACAGCATCTTTGCCCAGGTGACCCCCATATAGGATGGCATCTCAGACAATCCTCTTATTGTCCACAGGAGTCTAGTGAGCCAATCCAGTGAGCTGTGTCCCCTGCCTACCTTCACTTTCCTGGAGAGACCCCTGCCCGGGCCCCTGAACAAACTGGTGGAGGTGAAAAGCTCTGTGGACAAGGACTCCATCCAGAGTTCTCCCCTAATGCCACCCACAGCTCCTGGCTGGGCCCGACCCTGCTTGGGGCCCTCAGTCCCACCCTCCCATTGAAGGCACAGACTGAAGGTCTCCAAGATGTGCGAGTCAGGCTCTGCTGTCTGGAAGCTCGCGGTGTCCTTTGGAGAGTTCATCTAATCCCAGAAAAGAAGTGGAACCCCTTCAGGCCTTACATGCTTGGGGCCCAGAGAGCAGCAGAGGGGGCAGGTTTGGGGGCCCCGAGGAAGAGAAAGCCTGGTGTATAGGGGAGATAGAGGAAAGCTTTCAGGAGGAGGAAGGAGCACGGTTGGGCCCTGAACAACAGAACACAGTTTCCCATTAAAAAAAAAACAAACAACTTTTTTTAATTTTGAAATAATTTTAGACATAGAGAAGACTTGTAAGGTGGTACAGGGAGTTCCTCGATACCCTTCTCCCAGTTTCCGCTGATGCGAACATATATAACAGCGATGCAGTTACCAAAACTAGGAAATGAATGCTGGTACAACACTATTAAACTATAAGCCTTATTTGGATTTCAATAGTTTTTTATTAATTATCTTTTCTCCACTCCAGAACCCAGTCCACGGTGCCATGCTGCCTTTAGTTGTCCTGTGTCCATTATAACTGTTTCCCAGTCTGTCCTCACTTTGCCTGACCTTGAAAGTTTTGAATACTGGTTGACTATTCTGTAGAATGTCCATCAAGTTGGGTTTGTCTGCTGTTTTCTCGTGATTAGTCTGGGGTTACGTATTAATGAGAATACAACACAGCTGACTGGTCCTCAAGGCCACTGGGGTAACATGACGTCACCGTGACGTTCCACTGCGGATGCCGGTCTTGAGCACGTGGTGGTGGTGATGTCTGCCAGTTTTCTCCACTGTGAAGGTGCTAGTCTTCCTTTTCCATGCTCTGTTTGTTAGCAGAGAGACACTAGTCCAGCTCATGGTCAAGGAGAGGTGACTCAAGGTCTCCCTTCTAGAGGGAGGAGCAGCAAAGAATTTGTGGACACAGTTAAGATCACCACATTAATAAATATTTGGGGGAGGTATATTCAGGCTACGCAAATGTCCTAATTCTCCTTAAAGACAGAAGTCTACTAATTTAAGCATCCATCTATGGATCTTGCCTGGAACAATGATTACTGAGGTGCTCTCATGGCAATTTTCTAATTCTTCTTCCTCATACATTTATTATTTGGAATTGTTCTGTAACAAAGATTTGTCCCTTTTCTGCCATTTATTTATTTTCGATCAGCACAGACTCATGGTTATTTATTTTTTTCATTAGGTTAAAATATAGTACTGTCGCTATTTATTTTGTTTACTCAAATTGTTTTACCTTTGCCCACTGGAAGCTCTTTCAAGTTGACTCCTGTGTTCTTTTGGCATATTCCTATCTTTTGTTTGTTTGACTTCCTTGATTTCTGGCACTACAAGATGCACCCAGCCCATCTTGCATTTTCTGTGCTCCAGCCCTGGAATCAGCTATTTCTACACAGAGTTCTAACTCCTTTTGTTTAGAAAGCAAGATCTAGGTGATGTGCTAGTTGCTACTAGGATGTTACTACTTCTAGGTCCTCACAGTGGTCAAAGCAAGGAAATACATGAGTATACTAATAATCTATAAGCTCATTTATCTTTCCTATGTCTATATCCATCCAACCATCCATTCACCCATTCATCTACCCATTCATCCATCGATCCATTGACCCATCCATCAACCTATCTATCTATCCACCCACCCATTCATTCATCCATCCATCCATCCATCCATCCATCCATCCATCCACCTACTTACCTATCATCTATTTATCTTAAAATAATCATTAGTTCATACTGATACACCACCCTTACCTCAGATTCTAATGCAGCAATGTATAATTTATTCTTTCTTTTCCACCTTGCATATTTGTTACTTCTTCCTTTGACAAGGGGAAGGCTGGTTCCCATATCTGCGATTATGTGTGTGTTCAATCTTAGCACATCCATAAAGCAGTTTCAGAATTTTTGATCTGGATCCCCCGTGAGAAACATGGTTACCAGCTAGAGTTCAAGGTTCACGTGTAATCCTTTTTTTCTTTTAGTTTGACAATCCAAACTCTTTTCCAAGGTTAAATTGGTCAGGTCTTCTCTCCCAACCCAATTCAGGGAGGTTATGTCAAACATTAGAAGTACAATTAGATTCTGTTGTCACAGGCTACACTATATCTTAAGATTCCCTGACATCTTAGTTGACTGTTTTAAATTTGCATATAGTCAAGTCACTCTTTGTAGTGTGCAGTTCTAAGAGTTTCCAGAAATGTAGACTCATGTATCCACCACCCCAGTACCATAGGGAACAGTTCTATCACTTGAAAAATTCTTGACTCCTTTTACATCATATTATTTTCCAAAATGTCTGTGTTTTCACAATCCCACCGGCATGGAATGAGTATTCCTCTTGGTTCACATCTTCATGAGAATTTGGTATTGTTCATTAAAAAAAAAATTTGCCATTTGAGTAGGTATGTCTTGTATTTCATTGTGGTTTTAATTTCCATTTCCCTAATGACTACTGGTGTTGAACATCCTTTTATATGCTTATTTGCTATTCATGTATATTCTTTTGTGAAATGTCTGTTCAGATTTTTGTCCTTTTCTTCCTTAAAAACATTTGTTTTGTTTTGTTTGATGGTCTTTATACTCTGGATACAAGTCCTTAATTGAATATGTGATTTGCAAATCATTTCTTCTAGTCTGTGGGTTGTCTTTCATTCTCTTAACAGATTCTCACAGCAAAAGTTTCGAATTTTGATAAAGTCCAATGTATCAGTTTTATCTTTTATGAATTGTGCTTTTGGTGTAGTACCTAAAAACCCACCATCAGGCTCAGGGTCATGCAGATTTTCTCTGATGTTTTCTTGTAGAGGTTTATAGTTTTATGTTTTACATTTAGGTCTATGATGCATTTTAAGTTAATTTTGGTGTAAGATGTGAGGTTTGTATAAGTTTCATGTTTTTACATTCAAATGCTATTTCTCCATGAATTGCCTTTATACATTTGTCAAAAATCAGGTGGCTATATTTGTATGGGTATTATTTTGGGTTATTTTGTTCCATTGATTGATAAGTTTATCCTTTGCCAATATCTTACTCTCCTGAGTATTGTAACTTTATGGGTAAATCTTGAATCTGGATAGTATGAGTTGTCCAATTTTGTTCTTTTTCAGAA